ACCCTGAGTACACAATGTACTCGCGAGAGTTACCCGACTAGTGGGAATAATTTTCTGACTCCAAAGGATATGATAAGCTTTATGGTTTGTCGGGTTTCCTTTTTGCGAAAAGCATTACTAGTAGTGAATCCTTATGTATGTGTTTTATTAGCAGTCATGATTAGTTCATTAGCTAACCATTCTATGTAAGCACCTGTTCTACTTTCAAGCAAGAGTTGAGCAATCAGATCCATTCATTCCCTTTCATCTTTAGTTCTTACTACGGTGCTAGACCATAGCCAAGTCATACCGTATCACATGGCGATTCAAGAACCAATGTATCCTAGCTAGGTACCACAAAATACATGCCTCGCTTGTATCCTGAGCACAAGCAAGACCAACCCACCACTCTCCTGTCAAGGGGTCTAGGTCCCCATACAAACCTAGACTCTAAACCTCTACTCCCGAGTCCCAGACTCACTGTGGTGCTTAGAGCTCCACCATCCCCGCTTCCAATCAGTCGGTCCAGAAAGAGACAGAACCCACGACAAGAGAGCAACGAGCCTTCCCGCTCCTATAAGCAAGTATGTGCTCAGGATAATAAGTCTGTGACCTGACTACCATCCACAGCAACGGACGGTCCTTAACCGACATGAACAGGGAAAATAGTGTAACCAAGCTATGCCCCGTTGGCCGTAGGACACAACCTATTACACCCACCAATACCCATACCATATCCCTGCCCGGTCTCCATTTCCTTTCACCATTTTATCATGAGAGTAATAATAATAATCACCTATTGTGAGTAACAGCAGGTTACTCATGCTACATATAACCTAAGTATAGCAGCTACTCGACTTATGCTAGTAGGACTCATAGGTAGGTTTATTTATGCATGTAGTTTCAATATAAATCCTATAACGTAAATGCACATCACATATATATCCAGTGATTATTCAAAATAAGGGTTATGCACCGGGGCTTGCCTTGGGTAGGCGGATTGTCAGCTATGTCAGTCGTTAGTGGTTGTGGGGCTTCCTCCTGTATGAGAACCTCCTCCTCCTACTCCTCGTACTCCTGCTCTCCGGAGGTCATGAACTCCACCAACTCATTCTCTACATGCATGCAATGACGATGCAACACTTAGTATTTTGGCAACAGCAACTCTTAAAATAAGAATACACATGCTAAGTTACTAAGCTAGCTCTAATGACTAAGATACTAAGCTAATCATTATCTCTACCAAATAGATTTCAAGCTCACCCTACAAGTCCTTAACTTTTATAAACCAATATCATGCCATTATTCCTTTAGCCTTAATGAGTATTTAGCTACCATATTAAGTAGTCTATTCTAGGGCTACAAAAATTACAGTAACACATAATAATACAATGAAGCTACTATAAAAATTTTAAGGTTTTTCTCTATCACCAATCTACCACAAAATTCCTACAATTATTAATCAAAATAATACTAAGCATCTCAACTATTTTAATGCTCCTTAGCAACCACATAGATATGTATGAACTAACTATACTAACAGATACACAATGTTTTTGGAAACCTAACAAAATTAGTTTCACAATTTTTGGATATCTTCATTATTTTATATTAATTATCAAAGTTCAGCTCAGAATTAAAATGAAAAGCTATTTCTATTTTCCCAGAAAAAAATAAACCGATTTAACGCGGCCCACGCGCGGAGGCGGCCCGCGGCGGGGAGCCTGCGCACGTGCTGGCACTCTTGCAAAAATGCCCTCGCGTTATCAGACAATAGCGCGAACACTACACGTACTATTTCTATAGACAACGACTTTGCAACGGAGCCCTCGTATCTTTTCACCTTCGCACCGGAGAGGTCCCCGAGATGCCCCGCGCTCGCTGGCGCGGTGGACGGTGGCACTAGGTGGTACGCCAGCCACTCGAGGCTCGCACTGACCCAACTAACGAGCCGAACCCCATCTACGACCCTAACGCCTACCCTAAGCGGTGATACGGAGCAACAGGGTGCACTAGAGCGAGCTACCACCGCGTGTGGTCGCCCACGATGGCGTCGCGGTCATCCTGATGAGCTACAGCGCTAACAGGATGGTAGAGATAGGGGATAAGCACCAGGGGCACACCGTGAAACCGGCCGAAGTGGTGGTTGGGCCGGCGACTACCTGAGCAGGGCTGGCCGCGTGCGCGCAACGAGCACGGCGACAAGCCACGGTGGACACGGCCGCATTAGCTGTGGCCGGGAGGTGGTAGCGTTCCCACTGGCATGCGCATGGTGGAGAGGGAGCCAAGACGAGCTAGTGGTGCAGAGGAATTTGCGCGGGGTGAAGCGGTGGAGGCTGGCCATGGCGCGGCGGTGATGGGTCTTAACGGCGCGGTGGCGGGGCGAAGCTCCAAAATTGAGGCTCGGCTGAGCCGCAATCAAAGCGGGGTGGGGGCGACTAGAGAGGGGACATGAGGGCGGAGACGTGGACAAGAGGGATTGATGAGAGGTGACCCCTCATAGCTACGGCGCCGGTGCAATTCGACAGCGGCAGGGAGACGAGAACAGAGAGAGCGCGAGGGAGCGGTGGGGGAGGGGCAGCCAGCGACTTGGCAAGGGTGTGCCTTGGCAGGACACGGTTGGCGTGACCGGCATAGCCCATGGCTAGGTACTAGCCGACAGACACGCACACTCGCGACCGGTGTGGCCCGCGCGCCGCAGTGCCATCAATGGCAAGGCGACAGCGACACGACCACGTGCGCGCAGTGTCAAGGCAGGCAAGCGGCGCAGCGTAGTTGCAGGCGCGCAACATGGTGATGCGATGGTGGTGGCAACGGCGTCGTCGCGACGCGAGCGCAAAGCCAGCAGCAGCACCAGCGGCAGCCACGATGGCAGGGGTGGTCAGGCGTAGAGTGGACCGACGGCCTAGCGGTACAGCCAGAGCGCCCAAGTCATGGCAAGGCCACGCGCGCGCACGGCACAACCGCCTGGCCACGTGGGTCGGCCACGCGTGGTGACCATGTGCACGGCGCCAGATAGCACAAAGCTATGACGTGCACGAATTTTAAAGCACTGATCACGACCAAATCGTTGCTCCTAAACCTAAACCTAAACCGGCTTTACTACACTCACGATGGCATATGGAACTACTAAATCGAATCATGGCACTACACTACTCGTTAACCCGATCTCTCTAAATAAATTGCTAAACATAGCAGTGTCTAGCTATCCACATACTTAGAAATGTTCTAAGCGTTTGAGCTAATCTTAATTTCATATTGCATTTCTAAGCTACTGAAAATATTACTTAGCAATATTCTTTTTCAACAACAAGTATTTCATTGTCATCTACAAGTTTGCACTTCCAACTTTATTTAAGTATCACACACATGTTCTATAGTATTTTTGCTTAATAAAAATTAGTTTTAAACCATACTTGATATGCATGAACCATCGAACCAACTTTCGTTTAACATTTTTATTGATCGTTTTGAGTTACAGAAATTGATCTACACACTTCACCACATGCATTAACACACAAGTATGATGCTCATGACATGTTTTAGTAGATGATTAACGGGGTAACACCGAGGGTGTTACACCCAGCGGGTCATCCTTGCCATCGTAGATGGGGAAGGAGAGTTTGTGATAGTGTGGCACGGCCATGGCCTCCGGCTCTGGCGGCACATGAGGAAGGGGAGGCGGCATGTGCATGGTGGCGGCAGACGTTGGAAGTGGTGCTTGCATGATGGAGGAAAAGGATGGCACGGGGGATGGTGAGTGTGGAAAGTTGATCTAGGTGATGGGTACGCCCATGGATGGCGGTCCCGGCTGGGTGGACATGGCCATGGATGCTGGCATGGGTGGGCTTGACGCCTGAATGGAAGGCATCACTGGCGGCGCGAAGGAAATCTCCGAGATGACCGGGCCGGAGGCCGGAAGCTACAGAATGTCCCCATAGCCAGGCAAGTCGTACGACAGGAACGATGGCGCGGACGCAGACGGGCGACTTTCGACGGCCGCCAGACGTGAGGAGATGTCGCCCATTTGGCGTTGCATGCCGTAGATGGCCACGGTGAGGGCGTTGAGGGCGTCAGTGGGGATAGCGGTGAGCTGTGGGGCGGAACGGGGGTGGTGCAGTGGAAATGAAGGCCGAGCTGGTGAAGGCGGGGGCAGATGGGATCACGGGGGCGGTGGTGGTGACGGCAGCGGTGGTGGGAACGACGGATTGTTGGAGCTTAGGGAACGTAGGGCATAGGAGTGGAAGGTGGCTGGCCTGGGTTTGAATCCCCGGCGGCGGTTTGGCGGTGCCGTGCTCGACGCCTGGTGTGAACATGAACGAGAGAGAGACAGAGAGCAACAATGCCAAAGAGCAAGAGAGATAAACTCAAATCTCTGGCTAACCTTCTCATTAAACAAATGTTTAGCCTTATAGGCAAATCCAACATACTGCTAACAAACTCCTGAAAATACTCTAGTGATCTAACAAACCAAATGATCTAACAACCCAACTAAACTGATCCTGGAAAAGTGGCACCGAGACCCATAGTGATCGCGCCCAGCGCGCCGTGGTGACCGCGCACAGCTCACGTACGCCCGTCGCGCGCGCACCATAACATATACTTTGGGCGTCCACATCATAGGAGAGCATATTTATTGCGATATATTTCAAAAATAGAGAAGAAATAGTAGAGAGTTCAAAGTCTTTTGGAGAAGCTGCACATGTTATTTATAGGGTTATACTTTGACTTCGTACTTGGACTATTCTACAAAAGTCTCGCATATAAAGGGTTTTATTGTGGTGACTTTGCAGCATTTCGCACCAGCAGCCAAGGTTATTTTTTCCAGCACATGGCTCGTCTCCTAATCTCATCTTTATTTTGTGTGTGGTACTATTATTCTTTGTGGTTGTATGCTTTATTCTAAGCAGAGATTAGAAGTACTTTTGTAAGACTTTATATCATCTCGATATAATGTTATTGAAAAGTTAATAAAAGCTCCCTTTATAAAGAAACAAAATAAAATTTCTCCTCTTTGAATCTCAGGATCTTAGCACATAGAGTATATACAAAATGGAGCAAAGTATAGTGGTAGCAAAGATGGTAAGGACAACATTGATTATGTCAAGCTGGAATATTTTGGGCATCTTTTTCTGTAGGGCCACTCTCTCTTCAACAACTTCGTCTTGTTCATGAGGGTGTGTATTTTGTGGGGCAACTTCCGCTTCAACAATTTCTTGTTGTGGAGGTTGTGCATTTTGTGGGGCCACTGTTGCTTGAACAATTTCATCTTGCTGGGAGGGGTGTGCATTTTGTTGGTCTGCTGCTTCAACGATTTCATCTTGTTGATGAGGAGGGTGCACATTTTGTGGAGCCACATCTGCTATAACAATTCTGTCTTGTTGTAGTTCCCATGTGTCATCCATATTGACTACTTTACCCTTTGTGAAGCCTTGGAGCTTATCCTCGATCATAGTCTTAGTTCTGGTATCAACCTCCAACCTCATTAGTGTTGTTGACTCTTGAAGAATGAGAGGAATGACTACCAAATTTATGCATCCCAATAACCTGAGTATCTGAAGTTGCGGCAGATCGTGGCTCTGTAGATCAGACCATGTATGCAGAGCTTTCATGTCACCAATGAAAAGCTGCTGGAGCCTGCGAAATGCTACCTTGCCCTGCAGATCACCCCTAAACTCCATTCCAAGTGAGCATAAATTGTCAAAGCCTGTCACAGCTAGAAACTTGAGCTGTGGCAGCTCTCCCAATGAAGGGAGTTTCTTGCACCATACACAGTTTTGGAGGTGGAGTCCATGGAGGTTTGAGAGCGTCAATATCCATGAAGGGTACTGCTTCCCATAGTAGTTCTGAATTTTGAGATGCACTAGGCGTTTGTGAGGGACAAATCTGTCGAGAACTTGCCTTCTTTTGTCTATTGTGTCGTCTGGCACCAATGGAGGGTCAACATTAATGTAACATAGCTCAAGCTCCTTGAGCTGATACTTTTTAATTGGCCATTTATTTTCAGGTGGAGGTTCCAGTATTTCCTCTAGCCCATCAATACGAAGAATATCAAGTTTCTTCGGAAATTTAAGATCCAGTGACTGTAGCGAACCAATATTATCTCCTATGGGGAAGCCTTGCATAGAGATAAGCTCTTCCATGCCAGAAAAGCTCCAGTTTATATCCTTGATACCAGTACCAGAAATGTCAAGGCACCTCAAATATCTTAGCTGCCTTATGCCCTTTGGAAGTGTCTGTATTTCTGAGCAGTTCCTGAGGAGCAAATACTGGAGCATCCTTAGGTATACTATGCTCCTAGGGACTTTTCTTATATTTGTTTCAGAAATATTCAAGTATCGAAGATGCTCTAGGCTTCCTATAGAAATAGGTAGAGCCCTAATACCTTGCACTTCACGTAGGTCAAGCACTCTTAAAAGATTTAGTTGTTTGAACATGTCCACTTGAATGCCATCTGGTATTGTGCTCTTATGAAGTACTAGTGTCCTCAGGTACTTCATCCTTCTTAGTCCATGCAGCGATACGCTTTCTCCAGTGTTTGCCTCTCTTCTGGCTTCATTATTATTTCTGTGGTTATTATTTGCCGTGTTGTCATTGATATTTTCTTCTGCTCCTATGATCTCACCACTGTCACCATTTTCATTTTCATTGCCATCATCATTGTGATCCTTAAACTCATTGTTTTCAACTATTGATAGTCGTCGTACTTCAAAAAGATTTGTTATAGAAACTGATTCATTGCAGAAGTTTTCATAATCAGACACATCCTTCGCAAAGGAGCGGATCATGATAGGCATCTTCGCTCCTATGGCACCAGCATTCCCAAACTCAAGATGGAGGAGACCTCTTCCAATCAACTCATCAAAATAATACTCCGCAACCTCTTCCATGGTGAGTTTTCTCTTCTCCACAATGAAGCCCTCAGAGATCCATTGTTGTATAATGTACTGTTTCTCGATGAAGAAATTTTCAGGAAAGACTGAACAGTAAAGAAAGCACTGCCTCATGTAAGATGGCAAATTCTGAAAACTCAAGTTGATCATGTATTGTTCCTCTGGTGAAAGGTCCTGAAATGCAGTCCGGTAGACAGTCTCCCAGTCATGCCTTGTCGGCTCATGGCCCTTAGAGAGTCCGCCCTATACTCCTGATGGCAAGCGGGAGACCATCACATTTCTTGACTATCTGTTGCCCAATGTCCTTTAAGTCTGCTTCGTCATTCTCACTAATCGAAGCTCTTCGAAACAGCAAGCTCAAAGCATCAATGTTGTTCATCCTTTTGACATAATGGATATGACCAGCCCCGATTCTTTTAGCAATATGCTTATTTCTGGTAATTACTATCACTCTACTGCTTTCACTGTTGCCCTGCTGCAGAGGACCCTCCAACAACGCCTCCCAAACATTTTCTGTCCAGATAGAATCAACTACTAGCAAGAATTTCTTATTAGCTATTTCAGCCCCCAGGTTCTGTAGTTGAGCTTTAGTTGGTCCTTCCTTACGACGATCTGACCACATTATTAGTGAACTCAAATCAATGGAGAAACGTATCCATAATTTTTTCTCAAAGTGATGAGTGTTACCATCACCAACCTTGACTCTGTGATATATCCTCCGAGCAAGAGTAGTCTTGCCAATTCCAACCATTCCAACTATCGCAATAAGACGACATCTTTTCTTGGAACTATGTAATAACTCAATTATATCACTAGCATCGCTGTCAACATAGTCACCAATAATATCAGCATTGCAGTCAGGTGCTGTCTTTCCATATGATCGAATTGCGTGCTGGTTTGTCTTGGTCTCAACTGGAAGCTTCAGTATGCTCTCAAAATCCACATTCAACTCCTTTATGGCGGCAGCAACTTTTATGAGACCAGAATGATCACCACAGCTAATCGTCCTTCTGAGAGATCCCTGCACAACAAATGAAGAGACAATTATTTCAAATATTTAATCATGCCTTTGAATTGAGTATCTTCCTTTTAAAAGTCACACACGATCAACATGGAGACGAGTTTTGAGTTTTGATAGAGAGAGAAAATAAAACACTTATGAAACACATATTGCTTAGGCACGCTAGTCCCCAAAAATGAAGTCCATCCACCTAATGCCTCATGAATTGATATCTTACTATTACTAATCGAAGGCCTAAATAGAGCTTCTATGTTAATCATCATGGGACGCACTAGAAATAAGATAAATTCTAGAAAGTCTCACGAAAACAAGAAACATACATATAGCGAAACATATAGAGTAATAATTCATAAATTTACCATAAGCGGATAGAGACTATAGAGTATCTATTGGGACATTCAAGGTGTTTGGTTCAGTTAGTGATAACGTAAATGGAAATGGAATCAAACATATGTAACGGTAATGCATACCCTCTAGTAACGTACTCATCATAATACCTTCCAGATCAGTCATAAACCATGCTTTATAAATTAAGGAAATAAAAATGAACTAAAACGACAATTTTCCATTGTGAATGATTAGGGCCGCTCCTTTCTTTGATGACCTTACATTTCAAACCAGTGCAACAACAGAAGTGTTTAACATAGTATGGCTGAACGGGTCTTCAGATTTGGGTAACATTTCGATAACATTGTAGATCTCACCAAAGTTTCAAATCTGTAGTCGATCAGATAAATGCATTGCCAGCAATTTGAAATCCATTTAAAGTTTTAAACCTGGTTGTGGAATACGAAATGAAATGAAATCTATAAAAGACAAAAGAGAACAGAGCAACATACCCTGGGCTTGTCGTTCTTGATGATCCATTGGTCGACGACGTTCTCGACCTGGTACATGTGGTCCTTGACCCGCTTGAGCCAGTACCTGCCCACCTCGTCGTCCAGCATCACCTTGCGCTCCGCCGACTCCATCATCAGCGCCACCCGCTCGTAGTTCTTCTTGAGCCTGTTGACGTCGCCCTTGACGGCCCGATGCTCGCTGATCTCCGCCAACACCAAGTTGCCCACGAACATGGTGAGGCTGGAGGCCATGGAGGCTAAGGCCGAGTCCGGGATCATCGATCTATCTCGGTCTCAGACTCTCAGGTCCCTAGCTGCTTTGCCTGATCGGTCAGGAGGTCGTCATTATATTCAATTCAGGTTGAGTGCTGCTAGCAGGATGCACATCTCGGAGAGAAACGCATGCAGTGCATTGATACCTCACTGGGCGACGGCGATGTCGTCTCGACGGCGCTGCCTTGCTTTGGCGGGGAAGAACTGCTATGGATGAGAGAGAGAGAGAGAGAGAGAGGGGGGGGCAGATTTAGGTACAAAAAACACTGGACAGTACAGCGAGATGGTTTATTCTGATTTCTGACAGACGACTTAAGCAAGACATGTGATGATTAGTTCATTTCTTGATCGGTACTAGTAGTCATATGACTTGGTCTCTCTGGCTCTAGTCAGATTGGTGATGAGAGTAGTTAGATCCAATCTAGTTGACTTCGACAGGTCATCCACCCTCTGCCGGTATCCCAGTTTTAGTGAATTTCTTCTTTTTCTATGCTCAATCAAGATGATCCAACGTGCTTTCCACTCCTACGTCTTGTGGTCATGCATGCCCCAAAAGTGTCATACTGTTATATCATCTTATTTCTACACAGTTTTGATTTGTTTTTTGAAGTCAAATAGTTTGAAGTTATTCTAAATAATTTTCTATATAAATTAAGTTTTTTTCTTTTCAATTTTGACAGATTTTTCCTCCTATTACTGATAGATTTCCGACATTCCTGTTTATTAGTTGCCACCGATATTTTTAAAATATCAATGATGTAAACCTTGGTTGGAGGTCAACTAGCTAGAATTAGCATCACATCCTACGAAGTACTCCCTCTATCTCTTTTTTACATGTTGCATTAGTTTTGTGCTAAGTTAAACATTTGTATTTTTTACTATCGATTTTTTTTAAAAAATATATATAAGTTCATGACATAAGGTTTATGTTTTAAGGTTTACCAAGATAAATACTTTCATAATATATAATTTATATGTTGTGAAAAATATATAGGGTGCGTTTAGTTTCTTGGCTTGTTTGTAGCTTGCTAGGTTTTAAGTCTGGCTAGGCTTAGTATGCTCCCACCCAATCCTAGTTGTTTTGTTATTTGTACTATTTAAGCCTGGCTAATAAACGGTGTGTTTAGTTGATTTGGTTTGTATGCGATCACCTCTTCTTCCAACGGTAAGGCTACCCTTTGAGGAATTTCAGCGAACAGATGGTGGGCGTCCCGAGCACGGCAGAAGCTGGGCAAGCACGGCAGCGGCAGCGCACGTGGAGAACGAGACGGGGAGAGAGAGGACTACGAGGCCGCGCGCTTGTCGTCCGCAGCACGCCTCCGCTTCCGCTCCGCAGTAGCACGCCGGGGTGGCCTGGCCGCTGCCGCTCAGCCGCTGGCACCGGGAGGAGCAGGTGCATACAGGTAGGAGTACCAGCCAGCACCGGGAGGAGGGGTGGACCGATGGAGCTGCTGAGGCCAAAGGGGTGACGCGGGCCGGGGGTGAGCACCGATAGCAGCAGCCGGGTTTCTCCGAGACGACGGCGATATGGTCGTACTGTATTCGTGCCGGCCTTTTCTTCCTCCCAGCCCGTCCGTCCGTCCGCTGAAGCTAAGGACGCCACCGCAACGGCATCACATCGCGTACCGGTGCCTGATGGAGACGCGCGGCCGGGAGGAGGGAGACGCCTGTGTCGCGGAGAGGACGGATTAGTCGAAAGCCGTCGGAGGAATCGAAGCTGGTGGCTGCGGAGCGACCCGCGGGGAGGAGGAGCACGTGACCCCGGCGACCCCGGCCTCCTCCAGGATCCACGAGATCCATGCGCGAGGTTGCCGAGGGCGTCGTGAGGGCCGGCGGTGGGCGCTCACGGCAGCAGCGCGGGCGCGGAGGGCCGTTGGTGGAGCACGGCGCTCGCGGCGGCGAGGTAGGGCGGCGCTCGTGCTGCCAGCATCGGAGGCGGAAGACTACGCGGAGGGAGGTGACGGGAACGGGACCTGCGCCTGGCCAACCCTGCCTCTGGAAAAACGGCCGCAGCTGGCGTTCTTTCGGGAGAGAATTCACACCGTCAAATAAGTCGTTCCTCCTGAAATTTTCTTCGTTCTTTATTTGACACTTACTTCAATTTTTATCTCTAATTTGACACTACCGTCAAATCCGTTAGCTAACGGGGTTAACTGACTGTTAAAAAGACATTTTTGCCCCTAGAAAAAAAAAATGGCGAAGCAAATTTGTGAGAAAAAAAAACTGTGCCCGCCTCTGATGCATGCACCCAGCTGCAAAAAAAAGGCGCAGGTTTTTTCTTCCTCTCAAATTTGCTTCGTCGTTTTTTTTTCTAGGGGCAAAAACGTCTTTTTAACAGCCAGTTAACACCGTTAGCTAACGGATTTGACGGTAATGTCAAATTATGGATAAAAGTTGAAGTAAGTGTTAAATAAGAAACGAAGAAAATTTCAGAGCCAAAAAAAGAACGACTTATTTTTCCAGTGTCAAAAAATTCTCTCTTCTTTCGGAGCCAGGCTACATCCCATTTACACCCGATCGGCTAGGCATCGGACACCCCAACCAAACACTCTTGATTTATATTTATATGGTGTGAAATTATAAGATTTTTTTTAAATTAATGATAAAAAATAATAATATTTGACTTAGGTCAAAACTAACGTGACATGTAAAAATAAAACAGAAAAAATATGTGAACTATTTTATACTGACCCATCCATCAAAAGACACTATTAATATGCTTCCTGTGATCTGGATCCAACCAACAAAATGAGATCTAGGGCAGCCTGCTTGGTTTACGATTAAAATTTGCCATCCAAAAGATTTGGCAGCCAAAAGTTGGATAAAAATTTACCACAGATTTGGCAAGTCAAATGTAAAGTTGACAAATTTTGATAACAAACCAAATACTAACCAAAATCATAACTTACTAAATCTTTAGCTTATTAAATTTTGAAAATGATCAGGCCCTAGACCCACCTCAATCGCCCTCCACCGATGGATCCTTCTCGCCACACCGGCCTAGCTAGCTGCCACAACTGATGCCCCAACTCAGCTTCATATGCCTTACTATTTCATCGACGCCGCCTAAGCACTGTCAGAGCCGTGGCTCTCCTTCCTCGTGAATTCCTGTTGCATTTGTCATGGTGCCACTAGCGCGACTGTTGCTGCTAATTAGTAGTACTGTTCTTCTGTGTGGTGCCGTGGCCACTAGCCCATAACGTCTCCATCGCTATTACAAATCACATGTTGGGTGGGTTGATGATTTGGAGCCTAGCAAAAAAAAAAAAACGCAAGCCCAGTGTATTTGTGCACCGTTTGGTAGGTGTTTGAATCAATATAGTTTCAGATAACCTCTTGACCGAGGAGTAAAAAGCTCAAAAACCTAGCCTCATTGCATCAGTAGGCAGTACTCCCTCCGTCTCAAAAATAGAGTCGCTGTGGGAATCGTGCTGGTCAAACTTTCCCAATTTTAAATAGGTTTATAGAAAATACGTGTAATATTTATATCTTCAAATAAGTTTACTATGAAAGTATATTCAACGATCTACCTAATGATATTAATTATATATCATAAATATTAATATTTTGTTAAATATATTTGATCAAAGTTAAAAATTTACTGACTTTTTTGAAAGCGAGAATGACTCTTTTTTTTGAGACAGAAGGAGTACGTAGTAGCTGCCATTGGATAAGAGGAGACCATGACACAACACAACATGAGAAAGGGGGTAAGGACTAAGGAGAAAGAGAAGGGGAAGAAAATATATCCAAATTCGGTGGCTCTACACTTGTCGTCTTTATTAAGCTTGTAATCGAAGACTTAAACATGATTGGATCAACAACAAACATGGTGAGCTCGTCCTACAACTACATTTAGACAAATTCGATCTGGTCAATCGGTTTGGGTATTTATTGAGTAAAGTATCATATTTGAGATGGAGTTTTGTCGGATCGGATAACTTTAGTTTCAGGATAGAATAATTTTGGTAGATGATTAATTTGGATGGTGAAATGGTGTTCGATTGATCTATAACTTTGTCAATGGTCAAGGGACTCTGGATCGACATGCCTACCAAATGTGTTCAGTTTATGAGATACTAGCACGACTGGGCGCGCTACCACCGCGCCCGTGATGCACAGCTGTCAAAATGTTTAAAATTCAGCTGAGCAGTGTTTATACAGTGGACAGAAGCATTTAAAATCCGACAAAGAGTGTTGGCACGGGAATCGAAATGTTTTTAAGGCCTCGTCTAGATCCCATCAAAATTCTAAGTTTTTTTACTCTCTCTCCCTCACATCAATTTTTGGACATATGTATGGAGCATTAAATGTAGGTAAAAAAACTAATTAATTGCACAGTTTGGTTGTAAATCACGAGACGAATCTTTTGAGCCTAGTTAGTTCATGATCGGACAAAGTTTGTCAAATACAAACGAAACGTGCTACAGTGTCCGAATTACAAAAATTTGCAATCTAAACAAGGCCTAACACCTTGTTTAGTTGGACCCCAAAGTTCAAAAAGTTGCTACAGTACCTGTCACATCAAATATTTGCGACTCGTGCATGGAGCATTAAATGTAGACGAAAATAAAAACTAATTGCACAGTTTGGTGGGAAATTGCGATACGAACGTTTTGAGCCTAATTAGTCCATGTTTGAACACTATTTACCAAATAAAAACGAACATGCTACAGTAACCCAAAATCCAAATTCACCCGGACTAACTTGGAATGCACACTGTTTGCACAGGCATGGGATATTTAAATTTCGGATGCACAGTGGTTGCTACAGTGCAGGGCGGGAGAGGCCAGGGATTTATTCCTGGATGAGGGTTATCTTATAAATTGATTACCGTGGGGATAGAATCATGAGTCCTCTATTTTTCTGTTATCATTTCTCTTATTAGATGGTTGTATATGCTAACTTTGCAACTTAATGAATGTATTTCTACTTTTTACGTTCACTAGTAAAAAAAGACTTTTTGGGATGTCTTCCTT